CTTCTTCTTCTTCTTCTTCTTCTTCTTCTTCTTCTTCTTCTTCTTCTTCTTCTCCGTTCTTGATGATAGTCCGACAGCCAATCCGGCGGTGCGCACAAAATGTGCAGTTCTCTTTAGATAATAGTATGCGTTAAGACGTTGTGGAATCAGGCGCTCGTCAGTTTTAGGGTCATATCGAGTTCTTGGTATTCTCTTAAAGCCTGTTTATTTGCCTTGCCTTAGTTTTAAAAAATTATCCATCTATCGTGAACAGATGTTGAGATATTTGCGATGTAAGGAGGTGGGGGTCACCTGGTTTCAAATGTAAAATCAGCGAGAAAATGGCCACCAAAGTTATGGATTTCCATAGCTTGAGAGTCCTTGGAAACTGAAAACGCATATTTTTTTATACCTTTAATCAACGTATTTCAGTAAAATCCACATAGGAATGTGTTTTTAATGAGCACAAAAGGCGTTGAGCCCCCCCAAAAAATTTGATAAAAATTTCAAAACCAGCAGAAAAATGACTTTTATTTTTTTGACGAGCGCCTGATTCCACCACGCCGTGAAGCATATGCACCTCTAAACCGTCATACATTTTTCTCTCCTGTGGAGTAGGATGACCTTGACAGACATAGATAATGTTTGTTGTAACTAGAACTCCATACCTTTGGTGCGTTATATATCCTAGACCTAGTGTCCTGCTTACGTTATGCGCATAACATTATCTTTGTTGTTGTTGTTGTTGTTGTTGTTGTTGTTGACATTGTTGTTGTTGTTGTTTTTGGTTGTTGTTGTTGTTGTTGTTGTTGTTGTTGTTGTTGACATTGTTGTTGTTGTTGTTTTTTGTTGTTTTTGTTGATGTTGTTGTTGTTGTTGCTGTTGCTGTTAATATTATTGTTTTTGTTGTTGTTGTTGCTGTTGTTGTTGTTGTTCCGTATTTTGATCGTCCGTAATTTGTGCTTGAAGAAAAACAAGTGTGAGTAGTTATCTTTGTTGTGTTGTTGTTGTTGTTGTTGTTGTTGTTATTGTTGTTATTGTTGTTTTTGTGTGTGTATGTGTGTACGTACACGTGTGTGTATGGGTATGTATATGTGTATACGTGTGTATGTGTTTGTGTATATGTGTGTATGTACGTGTGTGTGTGTGTGTGTGTGTGTGTGTGT